GAGCAACTGGTGAAAATGGGATGTCTTTTCCCACATACTTGATTGCGCTTGCTTAGTTCTGTTAAGCCCATGGGTTTTGTTCTGAATTATGATTTGTTCCAAACAAAGTCCAACAAGTTTACTTTGGCTCTCTCAGGGATCGTGCTTTAGCTCTGTGTGTTGGATAAATCACAATTGGCTCACCCAAATCCAACCACATTGCAGTTTAACATGAATCCAGCCTCTGATTTTCAATGGAATCATAATTGCCATAAACTGCCATAACAGCAGCGCCGCATTTTCTGTGTCACATGAGAAAAGCACATCTTCCTTCCCCTGTCCTTACCACTTTCTACAGAGGGACGATCAAGCGCATCCTGTCATACAGCCTCACAGTCTGGTTTGGAAGCATCACTACTTCAGACAGGAAGGCGGAGCAGAGAGCGGTGAGGATGGCTGAAAAGATTATTGGCAGTTCCCTCCCTTCCATCCAGGACATAGCACAGAAGCGTTGCTTGAGCAGGGTCTGCAAGATTGTCTGGGACACTTCACATCCTCTCATGACCTGTTTTCTTTGTTACCTTCTGGGAGGAGGCTTCGTGGTATCCGTAGCAGAACATCCAGATTCAGTCACAGCTTTGTTGCATACAGTATTAACCTTGTGAACTCTAAAGCTTCCTCCTTCCATTATGTATTCAAGATGGACAGTGATTAATATTTATATGTTACTTATATATAAGGCTGTAAGTCTATACATATGTTGTATATAGTATGTTTAAATGTTATGTATGTGTACACTTTGAGAGCAAGCTACTAAATGTCATTTTTAATGAAAAATCACTATGGCAGAAATGGTCCTTGAGAAGCTCTGGGCTTTAATTTCTTATGAATGCACAATGTGAGAACTTATTAACCCAACCTTGGTGCAGAGTCCTTCTGACAAAGATGCCCCATACAGTCTCGTCTTCTTTAAATCAATTCTTCTTTTATTAGTTGTTACAGCTAAGCTGATATGGATGAAGTAGCAGATGTTGCAAATCAATTTATGGAGCATCTTTTGAGGGCCAGAGTCATATATCCTATAACAAGCAAAAAGAAGAAATGCACATGGAATTCATAGTTCTCACTTCCTTATTGGAAGAAAGGATCCTCCATTCTTTTTTTTGGGAACATCCAAACCCAGTACTTTCACTGTCAATCTTACATAGGTTTCAGATCAACAATATTGTCATTGTGCAATCTCAACCAACCTCAGAAGGTATTTGATACCAAAACTAGGATGAACAGATCCATCTGTTTTTTTTTTTAGTCCAGACTACTTTGCAAGCATGCTTTCCATTCAAATATTTTTGTCATCAATCTTTAAACATCCATATGAAAATTCTGTGCTGTTGTAACTGTATCTATACACCTCAGGAGTATAAAACTTTCCATCCAGTCAGAGCTGAAGAAGCTTCTTGGATGAGAAGCGAAACGTCTTCAAAGAAAAACAAGAAAGTCCAGTTGGAAAAGCATCTTTGGGATTCCTAAGCTTTTGCTAACTAGCTGACTAAGCAAATTTGCCAGCAGTGGTTTCCATTTGGCCAGAAGGAATATATTAACTTGCTTGACAATTCTGTTGGCCAACGCACACTTGATATCTTTCTCCTGGAGTGCATCAGCTACCACACCAGTTAACAATTTGAATGTTGTTGGTAAGCAGGTAATTGACCTATAGGTTTTGCCAGATGTTAGCCACTCTTCAATTTCACCTCCTTGTAGTATGTTGCTACACTGCTTGGCAACCAGTGGGTATAGAATAGTTAGATATTTTAACCAAAAACCATGCAGATCATCTTCACCTGGTATTGACCAATCTTCCTTGCTTTTCTTGTCTACCATTTCTGTGGTTATTGCTAGTTCTTTCATTTCAACTTTTTTTTTTTATTCTTATGCACCTTTTTAACCAAGCTGCATCCTTGTTGTATTTTGTTGGGTCATCCCATATCTGCTCCCAGAACTGCACTGTTTCTATTTCCACTATCTTTACTGCTTCCATTATCCTGACTTTTTTGTCTTTCTTATTGACAATTGTTAAGCCTGGGGTAGTTATGTAGTAGGTGCCTATTTGTTTGATTTCTAAAGTCCCAGAACAATTTACCTTCTTCATTTTCTATTATTTTCTCTATTTTGTGATCTCACCAGTTCTTGCTTGTAGGCAAATGATATTTCTTGCAGATCTTCCTATGCAGCATTGTTGCTACTCTATCACACCATTGTTGTACTTAGTCCGTTCAATCTTCTTGCAGCAGCTAAACAGGTGATCCACTGTTTCTTCAGTTTCTTTGCATAGGCGGCATTTGCTGTCTTTTGATGTTTTCTCAATTCTGGTTTTGTATCCATTTCTTATTAAGGCTGGCTCTTGTGCAGCCAGAATTAGTCCCTCTCTCTCTTTCTTCAACTTTTCTCCTCTTAGCCATTGTCAGGGCCTATTATTGTCTGCTTTGCCTATTTTCTTTTTTAAACATATTGGCCATATAATACCTTTTCTTCTCATGCCTCCTTTCTCTTCCTCCTTTGATCTTTCCTGTAGACCAGTTTGGTTTCTCCAGTACTCAGTATGCCTTCAGTGCATCTTCCTTATCTTTCAGAAATTCTTCCAATATCCCTTTTTTCCCTTTCAACCATCTGATCTACTTGCACATTCCATGCCTACCCATTTTCCTTGGTAGGTAGAGTCTGTCCACTTCACTGCATGGATGAAGGGCATGATTCATTGTCATTATTTTTCTGGTCTTCCTATCCAGGGCCTTTGGTTCTGCTTGAGTCCAGTCATCTATTCCAGCAGGGTATCTAATGATAGGAATTGCCCAGGTGTTGATTGGCTTGATGATATTTCCTCCACTGATTTTGGATTTTAAGATTTTCTTCATGTTCTTGATGTATTTATTTCTAAACTTTTTTTTTTTACTTTATTGTGCTCAATGTTGTCAGCTTGAAGGTTGCCCAGGTACTTATAGGGATCGTTTTCATCCAGACTTTTCATATGATTTCATAGGTCATCTTGATTCCATCAGTTTTCATTATTTTTCCCTGTTTCATGTAAGTCTGGCATATTTGTCCAGTCCAAACTCCATTGCAATATTTTGGTTGTATATATGGACAGTGTTGAACAGAGATGCTGTTTCAGATGGTGCTTTTCCATATAGCTTCCAATTGTCCATATAAAACAGCTGGGGTAACCTGGCAGATGTTTTTGATGTTTGATAGCCATGGCCTGAGTTTTTCAGTATTGTTGACAAAGGAATCAGTGCAATGACAAACAGTACTTGTGATTGTGAGTCTCCTTGGGAGATTCCTCTTTTAATGTCAACCTCTCTCATTATATCACCAGCAACCATGTCCTCCAATATGCCATCAATCTTTGCACAAAGCTTCTGATGTTTCTATTGACTCCTGTTATTTTTAGGAACTTGATTATCCAGTTAAGTGGCAAGGAGTTGAATGCCTTCCTGCAATCAATCCATACCACATTCAACTTGGTCTTCCTTCTCTTGCAGTTTTCTAGAATCATCTTGCTGATCTTTTGTTCCTCTGCTGTTTGAACAGTTCTCTTTCTTTTCAGCTGCAAAGAACTTATTTTCTACTGGATTCTGTTGGGGTTCATCAGCTACCATACCAGTTAATAATATGAAAGTTGTTGGTAAGCAGGTAATTGGCTTGTAATTGTCAGGGGTTGCCCTTTTTTCTGGCTCTTTCATTATCAGGTAGGTTTTTGCCAGATGTTAGCCATTCTTCAATTTCACCTCTTTGCAGTACATTGTTAAACTGCTTGGCAATGAGTGGGTGTAGACCAGTCAGATGTTTCAACCAAAAACCATGTAGCTCATCATTGGTCATTGGTGCTGACCAATTCTTGATCTCCCTTGCTCTTTTCACTGCCATTTCTTCTCTTACTACAAGTTCTTTCATTTCAGCTTTTTAAAAAACATTTTATTCACCTCCTTTAACCAAGCTACATCCTTGTTGTACTTCTTTGCATTATCCCGTATCTACACCCAGAACTGCACTGTTTCTTCCTGCTCAGGTACTGATTGATTCATTGCAGCCTCTCCATAGATGAATTGGTAGAACATTTATGATTGAATTGAAATTGGAGGCTTGGGCTATAATTTGCAATTTGAGCTTTGTATCTGCTGTTCTTCTTGGCTATAACATTATTTACTGAATTGTTCATTAGCAGCCTGGGGGAAGGGAGTGTAAGAGAAGAATAAGTGGCTGTAAAGGTGCACTGCAGATTATTATTATTAATAATAATAATAATAATAATAATAATAAGTTGGAAGGGACCTTGGAGGTCATCTAGTCCAATCCCCTGCTTAGGCAGGAAACCCTATACCATTTCAGACAAATTGCTGTCCAGTCTCTTTTTTTTTTTATTGAAAGTTTTTGAATTTTACAAAGCAAATCCCTTCCCCAAACCCCCCACCCTCCCATACCTTCCCCCATCTCCCCAAACCTCCCATACCCTCCCTCAACCTTCCCAGAGCTGAGTACAGGCTTAATTAAAATTTTTCAAAGAAAATAAAGAAAATAAAAAAAACTTAAAACACATATAAATCCTAAACAAATCTAAATACATTAAATTAAACAAAATATCTTCTCTAAAAGATAATAATTGCAAACATGTCCAGTGGAGCATTCACCACTTCTGGAGGCAGAATGTTCCACTGGCTAATTGTTCTAACTGTCAGGAAGTTTCTCCTTAGTTCCAGGTTGCTTCTCTCCTTCATTAGTTTCCATCTGTTGCTTCTTGTCCTGCCTTCAGCTGATTTGGAGAATAGCTTGACTCCCTCTTCTTTGTGGCAGCCCTTGAGATACTGGAACACTGCTTTCATGTCCCCCCTCATCCTTCTCTTCGTTAAACTAACATACCCAATTCCAGCAGCCTTTCCTTATGTCTGCAAGAAAACAACCAAGGTACTATTGAGCCAGGTACAGCCTATTCTGTGCATTTGTTTTCTTCCTGCAAATTTGACCAGGTCCCCTTCTATGCCCTCATCTAGCTCATTGATGAAGATATTAAGGAGGCCAAGACAGAACCTTGAAGTATCCCACTGCAGGCTTCCCTCCAGGTAGATGTGGTTTCATTGAGGGCTACACACTGAGTGTGGTTGGTCAGCCAAGCGTGAATCCATCTGGTGGTGATTCTGTCTATCCCACATTGTTCTATCTTATCAAGACGTAGGCTGTGATCAACTTTGTCAAATGCCTTACTGAATTCTGCATATGCTACATCCACAGCATTTCCTTGATCTGCTAATTTGCTCCACTAGTTAAGTTAATAATGTAATTACATGTCCTGTGTTTTCCTTGGGTTTTTTCCCCAGCCAGCTGTTTCTCATTGGGATGCATTCTTCCTCTTGGGCAGGCCCTGGAAAAAAATAACAAAATAAATAATACCTGTAAAGCTAAACTTAAGAAGAAATAAATCATTTTTGTTTTTAAAATGACAATAATTAAAATAAGTGTTGGTAAATTAAAATTATACTCACTTCCTTCACTTTGAAGGAGTTTCTCCTTCAGGTAGGTTTGTTTTTTTTTTTTTTTTGGCAAGCCTGGCAACTTCGCTTGACAATAATTTGTTTTCCTCCTCGAGCTAAGATGCAGAAATTACAAGAAACATTCATCAATCATAGAATACAAATAAGCAGACAAAAAAAAAAAGCTTAAAACAGGATTGTAAGGGAAGTGAATTACTTCCATCTCTTACTGTGGCAGTTCTCTCAGTCATCTTTTCCTGGTGTTTTGCTCTCAGCTCTTTGGTCTCCTCTTGTTCTGTAATTTTATGGAATAACATTTGTGCTATTACACAATACTCATGAAAGACATTACCTGTTAAGCCACCAATGACACAGCCATTTAAGATTGGTCAGTAGTGCAGGGAAACAAATCTCTTCGCATCTGTTTCCCGTTAAAGGGAGTTCAGAGTCTCTCCCAGAGACAGCAGTTCTGAAGGAAAGTTCACCCCCCCCCTCTGGGGTGCAGAGGAAGGATTGCCCTCCCATCCTCGCTCCTGCTACAGGTACCCACACAAACAATATGGCTGCTTACTCAGCCTTGTCTCTGATATTTCTTATATCTCTGGAGACAGAACTGCAAAAAGAAGATAAAGGGGCGAATTAAGCTCATTCTTGAAGTATGGGTCAAAGCGCTATTAAAGAAAGAACTACAATACCCAGAAAACTGTCCTTAATCCTTTTCCAACTTACACTTCCCCAACTTTTAATCCTTCTTCATTCAGCTGAAACTGAATTTGCTTGGGATTTTATTCATTCATTTGTTTGTTTACTCAGGTGTGTGTCTGTGTTGTTGAAGTTGGTGTGAGAGACGCAGATTTCCATAGCCTACAAAATTTGCCAGATTGTATCCATATTTTTTAAAAATAGCATGAAGACCCTCACTGACCACTGTTAACTATTGTTAAGCAACAAACCTTGAGAGTGAAAAAGGGCTGCATTGGTGAATGAGCAGAACTGGAGAGATTTATGTGCTCAACTTTATTATTATTATTATTATTATTATTATTATTATTATTATTATTATTATTATTATTATATTGCAATAGGATCTCACTTTAAAGAGCTTCCACGTATTGCTTCTTGTCCAGCTCTTAGGTGCATTCAGTATAGCTTGATTCACACAAGATTCTTTCAGAATATATCTAGTAAGTTAGAAGGTTATCGCTTGAATTTGGCAAGATTCTGTTGATTAGGTTTAAGCAAATAAAGGATTGAACTCAACTGGATTTTGCTGTGCCATTCCTGATCTTGGGCCTTACATTTCCTTTAACTATGGGATTTCTACTTTTTTTAGGATATCTATTATTATAGTCTTTTATATTTGTATTTGCTATTTTTCTCTCCCTAGTTTTTGAGAGGATAAAAGTGAGGGATGGGACGGATAGTTTCAGGCTTGCATAATTCTGTTAATGTAACCTCTAACATAGGTAAAACTAACATTTCTTGTTCTGCTTCTTGTCTGGACACTGGAAATGTTACGTTAATGTCAGGCCCATCATACACCTTGCAAATCAATATAATGTCAGTTTTTGATGCAAAGATATTATATATTCCTATTGGAAAGAATATTTGATTTCCACCTTGGAAAAATGGTTAAGCAAGCTGGGGAAGTTTGTTTTGATGTACAGAATAATTTTCTACCTTACAAGTAAATCTGATGTAGAATTCAATTCTCACTGGAAACCATCCTTGGAGTATACTGTAACTGAATACATACATGGATTTGTGCCTCATCCAAAATTTGGATTTTCCAAGGGTAGAATCTATATTTTAACTTCATGGGATATCCCAGTTTGGGAAAATTCTCAATACTGACCCAATTTATTGTAGCTTATAATACCACCCAGTGACTTCTACAGTATTAAATCTTAGATCTTAATACATATTCACAGCTTAAAGCTGAGTAATGATTCTTATTTTTATAAAAGGGATATGTTTTATAATTCATAAATACTTAATGATATATTAGAAAACTTGAATCTCCAGGACATTCTAGATCCCTTGTTTACTTATTTGCATTTTACTCTTTTATATTTTTGCATGTCTTTTTCTCTCCCTTTGCTTATATCCCTCTTTTTACAGTCTTGGGAATTCCAACTATGCAGTTGCTGCCAGCAACTGCTGATACTGGCCTAGACAGACCAACAGTTTTCATATTATATTAGTTTACTAATATATTTATTATATTTATATTAATTTACTAATATATTTATTTGTAAACCTGGGATAGGTAGATATGGATATTTGATAGTGTTACAGATTTTGTTGCATGAGGTAAGCTGTTTTGAATTAAGTTGCCTTTTGCAATTGACTGGTGGTAATTTGTCAATGCAGATTAGAATTTTTTATTGGCAAAGTGTGATTGGACACACACAAGGAATTTGTCTCTGGTGCATAAGCACTCAGTGTACATACAAGCAACAAGTGGTAAATCAGTATCACAATCATAAAATACAACCATCAAAAATCATAAGATACGCAGGTAAAAACTAAGAGTTAAGTTTAAGGTTATACAAGATGTACAGGAAAGAGGAGGAATCAAGGCACTTAATCTAAAATTGTATTATGATGCGGCGGCTTTAACATTGATTAGTGATTGGCTCAACTTAACAAACAAAAATATTCTTTCTCTTGAAGGATGAGATTTATTATATGGATGGTACGCATATCTAATTTATAATAAAAAACTAGATCAGGCTTTTAAATCTCACATTTTAAGAAATGTTTTATTACGTGTCTGGAGGGAGTATTATTATAGGTTAAATTATAAAATTCCAATTTGGGGGATTCCCAGACATGTGATAGAGGGGGTTTGGGGTATATTTTGCAATTTTTGTAAAACTTTTCAATAAAAAAAATCATAACATACAACCCAGTGATAGTCTTAGGATGCTAAATAAGCAATCAACATACTGTAAATCATAATAGAAAATTAAATGAAAGCAATACATATAAACTAAATAAAAGCAATAAACATAAACCATGAGATACAAACAACAAAATAATAGTCACAAGAAGCTAAGGAAATAGGTAATAGGACAGATGAAAAGCATAATAAGTAATACAGCCCTATTAGGTGCTTTGACATCCCACGGTACAGACAGTGTTGTGGGAAGTTATTTAGCAGAGTGATAGTATGGGGGGGAAACTGTCTTTGTTTCTGGTTGTTTTGGCATCGAATGCCCTATAGCAGTGGTGGCGAACCTATGACATGAGTGCCAGAGGTGGCACTCAGAGTCCTCTCTGTGAGCACTCACGCAGTCGCCCCAGCCCTACCTCCTCCCGTGGCCTCCTCCTCACCAGTAGTCCCCCTCCAGAGGAGATTCGCCCCTGAGCACAGCCGGTGTGGAGCAGCACAGCTAAGGACATGGCAGCTTGGCAGCAAGGACAAGACTCTGCCCTTGTGCCCCGTCGTGCGCAGATGATGCTGCAGGGCGCGGGCAGAGGGCACGGCTGCAATGGTGCTGCTGGGCCACCTGGGCAATCTGCAGCAGCCCATGGAGGCAGTGGGTGACCCTGCGAGTGGGCTGGGCTGGGCTGGGGGGTGGAGCAGAGCAGGGAGGGTGGGATGGGGCAGAGTGGGAGTGGAACGGGGGCAGGTGAGGCCAGTTTTGAGGCACTTGGTCTCTAAAAGGTTCGCCATCACTGCCCTATAGCATTGTCTTGAGGGAAGAAGTTGAAATAATTTATGTCCAGGATGTGACGGGTTTGTAGATATTTTTACAGCCCTCTTTCTGGCTCATGCAGTATACAGGTCCTCAGTGGAAGGCAGGCTGATTGCAATTGTTTTTTCTGCAGTCCTAACTATCAGTTGAAGTCTGTGTCTGTCTTGTTTGGTTGCAGTGCCAAACCAGACAGTTATACAGGTGCAAATGACACACTCAATAATTCCTTTGTAGAACTATATCAGCGGTTTCTTGGGCAGGACTGGTATTATTACTGTTATATTTGAATGAGAAGGATAATGATGGAAAATAATACTTCTCTGTCTGTATGATATTATTGGTCCTGTCAAATCTGCTGCTCTTTCCAATTGATTCCATAGGCAAGATTGGCATATTCTCATACATTCTATATTGTGATATTACCTCTGTACTCTTTCCATCACTAGAAGTTTCCAAACAAAACATTATTTTAAAAAAAGCAAAACTCTTCTTGTCTGTCCTCATCATTTCAGAAGACCACTGGAAACATGACTTCTTCAGGAGAAGCAGAATCTCATTCCCATATGGGGCTCTCAGGAGACTCAAACCATAGAGTTGGAAATTATTTTTTTCCTTTTCATCATTGCACAGTGCAATGTCATACTACACTTTAGTGAATCAACAGAATGTACTTAAAAAAGTGAAGTCATTATTTCATTGCAGAGATTTGCTTTCCACTAGCCTGATGACCCTCTGGGTTGTCCACAATTTCCAGCCCCATTTATTTTTTACTCCTTTCTTAGATGCATATCTTACTTCTCTTCTGGGAATTTAAGGCACTAGCCACAGTCTTCCCTTCTTTCCTGTCTGTTTCAAGTCTGTGCATGTGGGAACTGGATGCCTCTTCAGTTGGGTCTGGACTTGTTGTCTGAGCTCAGGAGATATTAAACAAATCTTTGGGTAAAGGTATGCTGAAAGGGTTGCTAAATGACAAAGGACAAGACGGCCCATTCTAATAATTAATATAGCAAATTACAGTTGTTAAAATGCTAGAGCAGAGGTTCTCAACCTGTGGGTTGGGACCCCATTTGGGGTCGAACGACTATTTCATGGGGGTCACCAAACAACGCAGTCCGCCATTTTTTTCCCCTTTTCCTTAGCTGTGCTACTCCCTTTTATTCTATTGGCTTTTGAAAGCCAGTAGAATAGACTCTCTTGAATAGAGTCTAATTCTATTGGCTTTCAAAAGCCAATAGGAATTGTCCAGGCTGTCTCTGCCCTGCTGAGCCCGCCAAAAGTCCCATTCTGCAAACGGTGCTGCAAGTTGTCTGCAGCAAAGGCGAGCTGTCTGGAAGCTTCCACTCCTCCCTGCTGAGCAACTACTAAAAATGTAAGTAAAAGAGGGCCAGGGGTGGGAAGTGGCAGGCCGGTGGGTGCAGGGAGGGTTGCTGGTGTGTGTGGGGCCCGGAGGGTGCCTTACCTCCCTTGGGCTGGGCCAGCTGGTGGCCCAGCTGGTGGTCGCCCTGTGCCATCGCTGCCCCTTGCCAGCTACGTCTCAGCCAGGGCAGGGGGTGGCACCACACATGCGTGGCGCTCCTGGGCAGGGAAAGTCCTCGATTTACGACCGGTTGGGTAGCCCTCAACTTACGACCAGTTGGGTAGTCCTCGACTTACGACCAGTTGGGGGTTGCGGCATTAAAAAGGTTAAGAACCACTGTGCAAGAGGTTTTGAGTAATACTTCTGCTTAAATTACTTTGATATAATTTCTAACCTGCCCACTTGTCCATTATGGTTCTTTAAATTATTGCTTTTCCTAATACATCCTCGGCTCTGGCATACACATCAAGACAGAAATATAACATTTTTATGACAGTCCTTTTGCTTTCCTGCTGACACTGTTTTCAATTATGTCTTCATCTATCATCTAATGGGACTTACTATTTTGATCTTTTGTCAGTGATAATTCAACAGTGAGTCACCAGCTTGATTAAATAATTGGAAATGATAAAACAGTTTCCAAGGCAGATTGTTTGCCTCTGAAAGTGGTGAATGCAACCTATCTGTTCTTCTCCACTCCACTTGATTGATATCCCAGAGCTTGCAAATGGATTCCAGATAACAGTCCTCTTTCATTTCAAGAAGCTGTGTAGCAACTACTTCTGTCTAGCCCCAGTACACAACTGCACTGCATGTTTGAGAGGCTAAGAAATCTTCTACTTCCACTTGGATACTTAAAATGCTTAAAATGGGTCTAAAGAAGTTCCTTTCGAGCAAGGTGATTGCTTGAAGAGAGACATTCAACACAGTAGAAACCTCTCATCGAACTAA